AGATGTTGCTCTACTAAAATAGTCCAAAATCGAAAAATCGGTTTTGGATACCAAAATCGACTTTTTAGGCTGCCGTGGTGTACCTTAAGTGTGTGTGTTGTTGTGATTAAAAATTATTTGTTGTACAGTAATGGAAACTCTTATTGCTCAAACGATATGCTATATATATACGGAAGGAGATTTTCATAGCGTTGATCTTTGTTGCAAATAGAGTGGTTTTATTCACCTTCAGGGAGAGAATATACATTTGCAACATTGTCGACACTAAAACATTACCCAGACCATTTTGTGTGTGTGTGTGCCTTTTCTTTTAGTGTCTTGGCTTCAAACTCACGTTGTATCTTTAGTAATCAGAGCTTGTTTAGTGCTGCAAGCTGCAAGTACGGTTTACACACTGAAGGCATTTCCGATAATGCCATCGCAATAAGGAGAAGATTAGAGCGTCCTCAATGTTATTATTAGTGACCAGTTTGTTCAACAAAACCCGTCAAACTAAGTCAGAAGAAATCACGCAAAGTCGAACGGTTTATTATCGAGGCTATCTTTTCGTTTAAAAAATCTACGCAAAGAGTGATCTTGAACAGGATACCCGGATATTCAGACATCAGTTCACAGCCTTATATAACCTTGTGCAATTATTCAATTATTGAAGTTTCCCTTCCGAAATACACGGCAATGGTCCGCTATGTGATCCCTATAAAGCAGTGCTTTTGTCGAAAATGAAATCAGAACCGTAGCAATCCTTTTATTTATTTTTTAATGAAGGTGTTTTACACCCGCTTCGTCACAGTTTAGACCATTTAGGAAGCGGGCCTCGACCCTGTCTGTCTGGGGCAACCCGGGCCGGGACGGATACACCGTTCCAGGAGAACGACAGAGATACTCCACTCCTGACACGGACAACGAACTCGGGTCATCTGCGTACGACGGCAAAGTGCCTTATAATCGCTACACCACTCAGGACGGTGTAGCAGCTCTAAAAGTGAAGGAAACTATGAAAAACATTCATCAGCTTTAGTCCTCTAGATCTACGTGTGTGCGGGTGTTCATTTGATATTTATGTATTCCCATGCGTATCCATGTTCACGGTATTCAAACCAACCCCC